GACTAGGTCCATAGTTTCATAAAATAAGATGGACAGATGGGGCCAGTGCTGTGGCATAGCAGGGGAAGCCGCCACCTGCGGTGCTGGCATCCCACGTGGGTGCTGGTTTGAGTTCCAGCTGCTCTGCTTCTGATCCAGCTCTCTGCTATGGCGTGGGAAAGCAGTAGAAGATGGCCCAAGTCCCTGGGTCCTGGCACCCATGTGGGAGACCTGAAAGAAGCTTCTGACTTCATATCGGCACAGCTCCAGCTGCTGGGGCCATCTGAGGAGTGGACCAGTGGATAAAAGACATATATATATATGTATATGTATATATGTGTGTGTGTGTGTGTGTGTGTATCTCTCTCTCTCTCTCTCTCTCTCTCCTGCCTCTGCCTCTCTGTAACTCTCCTTTCAAATAAATAAATCTTTTTTTAAAGTACTTTAAAATAAGATACACAGTTAACAAACAAGAGTGTGTTAAGTAACGACAAATGCCTAAAAGAATAGGATAAGGGGTATAGAGTAGGGACTTGAATTGGTGCCGATAGGGAATGCTGGTGCCACAGGCAGCAGCTTTACCCACTACATCACAGTGCAGGCTCCTGATACCATTTTTTAAAAAGACTTATTTATTATTTACCAGAGAGAGAGAGAGATATCTTCTATCTGCTGATTCACTCCCCCAAATAATGGCTGCATTGGTTGGAGCTGGGCTGACCTCTGCTGTGGCCCAGGAAGGCAGTGGAGGATGGCCCAAGTGTTTGGGCCCTGCAGCCGCATGGGAGACCAGGAGGAAGCACCTGGCTCCTGGCTTCGGATTGGCGCAGCGCGCTGGCCGTAGCAACCATTTGGGGGGTGAACCAACAGAAAGAAGACCTTTCTCTCTGTCTCTCTCTCTCTAACTCTGCCTGTCAAAAATAAAAATAAAAAAAGTGGAACAGCCGGGACTCAAACTGGTGCCCATATGGGATGCCAGCACTGCAGACAGATGCTTAACCCACTACAACACTGCAGTGGCCCTTTCTCATATGATTTTTTTTTTTAAATGAGCGCTGGCTCAGCTTTTGACTAGAGGGTTTTTTTCTCTTTTTTTTTTTTTTAAAGATTTATTTATTTATTGAAAGGCAGAGTTACAGAGAGGCAGAGAGAGAGAAGGGTCTTCCATCCACTAATTCACTCCCCAGATGGCTGCAATGGCTGTAGCTGCACCAATCCAAAACCAGGAGCTTCCTCTGGGTTTCCTATGTGGGTGCCAGACCCAAGGACTTGGGCCATCTTCTGCTGCTTTCCCAGGCCATAGCAGAGAGCTAGATCAGAAATGGAGCAGCTGGGACTTGAACCAGCGCCCATATGGAATGCCAGCACTGCAGGTGGAGGCATTGCCTACTATGCCACAGCACCACCACCCCCCCATATAATTTTTAATGACCTTATATTTTGTTATATGAGTATGTTTTTAACCATTCAAATCACCTGTTGTTTGACAAAATAATTTCCATAGGATCAAAGGGTATACAGAATTTTGAGATTTGTAATATGTATTCCTGGATTATCTTCCAGAGGGTGGTATCAGTAAATACTCCAACTAGCATTATATGAACTCTCCCATCTCCTGCCTGTTGAGTGTGAGATTGTATTAATTTATTTTTTTAAGTTTATTTTATTTATTTGAAAGAGTTAGAGTTAGGGATCAAGATACCTTCCATCGTTTGGTTCACTCCCCAAATGTCTGCAATGGCCAGGGATGGGCCAGGCAAGAGCCAGGAGCTTCTTCCAAGTCTCCCACATAGGTGGTAGGGGCCCAAGCACTTGGGCCATCCTCTGTTGCTTTCCCAGACACATTAGCAGGGAGCTGAATCAGAAATAGAGCAGCTGGGACTTGAACCGCTGCCCATATGGGATGCCAGCATTGCAGGCAGCAGCTTAATCTGCTATGCCACAATGCCGGCTCTGAGTGTGAGTTCTTTAGTAACTCTTCCATAGGTCTCAGATAGGGAATGAGCATCTTTGAATTCCTAATTGCTTCCTTTTGTCCTGTTTTCTTATCATCATCATCTAATATTCCAGATGCCTAATTTGCTCACCTACTGTACAACCCCATTCATACTTACTTTCTCTCTCTCTCTCTCTCTCTTTTTTTTTTTTTTTTTTTGACAGGCAGAGTGGACAGTGAGAGAGAGAGACAGAGAGAAAGGTCTTCCTTTGCCGTTGGTTCACCCTCCAATGGCAGCCGTGGCCAGCGGGCGCTCCGCGCTGATCCGATGGCAGGAGCCAGGAGCCAGGAGCCAGGTGCTTTTCCTGGTCTCCCATGGGGTGCAGGGCCCAAGCACTTGGGCCATCCTCCACTGCACTCCCGGGCCACAGCAGAGAGCTGGCCTGGAAGAGGGGCAACCGGGACAGAATCCGGAGCCCCGACCGGGACTAGAACCCGGTGTGCCGGCGCCGCTAGGCGGAGGATTAGCCTAGTGAGCCGCAGCGCCGGCCTCTCTCTCTCTTTTTTAAGATTTATTTATGGGGCTGACACTGTGGCGTAGTGGGTAAAGCTGCCACCTGCAGTGCCAGTATCCCAAATGGGCGTTGATTCGAGACCTGGCTGCTCTACTTCTTTTTTTTTTTTTTGACAGGCAGAGTGGACAGTGAGAGAGACAGAGAGAAAGGTCTTCCTTTGCCGTTGGTTCACCCTCCAATGGACGCCGCGGCCTGCACGCTGCGGCCGGCGCACCGTGCTGATCCGATGGCAGGAGCCAGGAGCCAGGTGCTTTTCCTGGTCTCCCATGGGGTGCAGGGCCCAAGCACCTGGGCCATCCTCCACTGCACTCCCTGGCCACAGCAGAGAGCTGGCCTGGAAGAGGGGCAACCGGGACAGAATCCGGCGCCCCGACCGGGACTAGAACCCGGTGTGCCGGCGCCGCTAGGCGGAGGATTAGCCTAGTGAGCCGCGGCGCCGGCTGGCTGCTCTACTTCTGATCCAACTCTCTGCTATGGCCTGGGAAAGCAGTGGAAGATGGCCCAAGTCCTTGGGCCCCTGCACCCTTGTGGGAGACCCTGAAGAAGCTCCTGGCTCCTGGCTTTGGATCTTCACAGCTCCAGCCATTGTGACCACTTGGGGAGTGAACTAGCAGATGGAAGACCTCTTTCTCTCTTTCTCTGCCTCTGCCTCTCTGTAACTCCTTCAAATAAATAAATAAATATTAAAAAAAAGATTTATTTACTTATTTGAAAGTCAAGAGAGAGAGAGAGACAAAGAGGTCTTCCATCTGCTGGTTCACTCCCCAATTGGCTCCAGTGGTCAGAACTGTGCCAATCCAAAGCCAGGAGCCAGGAGCTTCCTCCACACGGTGCAGGGGCCCAAGCACTTGGACCATCTTCTGCTTCCCCACGCCATAACAGAGAGCTGGATCTGAAGTGGAGCAGCCAGGACTTGAACTGTCGCCCATATGGGATGCCAGCACTACAGGCAGCAGCTTTACCCACTATGCCATAGTGCTGACCCCATACTTATTCTCTTTGTGCTGCAAAATTATCTTTTTTCTGTGCCTTATTCCGCAACATTAGGCCAAATTCTTCACGAGTACCTTGTTTCTAGCTTGGTGATAAATTAACTCCTATTAAAGTATTAAAATTATTGTCATGTTGGGAAGTTTATGTTTTAAAAGAGGACAAATTCAGTTATAAATTCCATTGGTGACTTTTTTTTATTTTTAAAGAAGTTTCTAATTTATTTATTTTATTTTTTATGATTTATTTATTTATTTGAAAGTCAGAGTTGCACAGAGAGAGAGGAGAGGCAGAAAGAGAGAATGGTCTTCCATCTGATGGTTCACTCCACAATTGGCCGCAATGGCCAGAGCTACGCTGATCCGAAGCCAGGAGCTAGTAGCTTTTTCCAGGTCTCCCACGTGGGTGCAGGGGCCCAAGGACTTTGGCCATATTCTACTGCTTTCCCAGGCCATAGAGATCTGGATTGGAAGTAGAGCAGCCGGGTCTGAACCAGCACCCATATGGGACACCAGTGCTTCAGGCCAGGGCATTAACTTGCTGTGCCACAGTTCTGGCCCCACGATTGGTAACATTTCAATAGTAATGTTTTACCCAGATTTTCTAGTTCTCTATAGATGACAGTCCACTTTGTCTATGCACAACACAAGCCATACTCTTCAGTTTTCCTTATCAGGATACATGTGATTAGTGAGTTCACTGTCTCCTGCATTTTTTAAAAGGATTTATTTTATTTCTCTGAAAAGCAGAGTGACAGAGGGAGAGAGATCTTCCATCCACTGCTTCACTTCCCAAATGGCTATAATGACCAGAGCTGGGCTAGGCCAAAGCCAGAATCCTGGAACTCCATCCAGGTCTCCCACATGAGTGGTAAGGGCCCTTGAACTTGAGCCATCTTTGGCCACCTTCCCAGGAGCATTAGCAGGGAGCTGAATTGGAAGCAAAGCAGCTAGTACTTGAACTGACATACATATATGGGATGTGGGCATCACAAGAGGCAACTTAACCCACTGAACCATGACATTGACTATCTGTTTTCCACATTTGCTTTGCTTAACCTATCAGTTATCTTTTCCATCTTGTTTTTTCTTCTCTCCCTGGTTGTCCTTATGATTTTAAAATTTAACTATATTTAGTTATGTAGGTAATATATGCAAGTTCTTCCAAAGGGTATTCAGTGAAAAGACTTCTACCTATCCTTGTTCTCTAGTTCCCTTACCCAGAGGCAGCCAGTGTTTCCATAATCTTGGGTATTCTTCCAGAGATATTTTAGGATATGCAAGTAACTATATTGCTGTTATGATTTACTCTCCATTGTATGATACACTGTGGAGTCTGATGAATTCTGTTTGAGCCTTGAGACAAGTTTCTCTGGGTGTTCCCCCCAAGTTTGTACAGCTTTAGGCACTGAGAATGTGGTCATGATGCCATATTCTTACTGTTATGGCCTCTTGCCTTTTGAGAGAAGACATATACAAACTGCCTTGAATTCCTTTTAAGTACCAGTTTTTCCCCTCTAGGAATCAAAGGTAAACAATGAGAAGTCCCAGACTAGAAGCCCAGGGTCTGTTGAAAGCCCTCAACCAGCTGCTAAGCAATCTGATCAGCCCACTGCTACTTACGAGTATTATGATGCTGGCAATCACTGGTGCAAAGACTGCAACACCATCTGTGGGACTATGTTTGACTTCTTCACCCATATGCACAATAAGAAGCACGCACAGGTAGGTGTCCTGCCATCTGTTATTTCCACTCTTACCCTCATTCCCCACAAACTTCTCTACCTGCATCTGCATTACAAAACTGGAAAATGAAACATTCTCATGGGCAGGAGCCCCAATCTGAAGAGCCAGGAGATACCAACAAAGGAGACACCATCCCCAGGGCTCAGTCTAGGGGACCTGCCTGTAACTAAACACCATGACAAGTGTAAGTGAGGCTTCTGCCTCTTTTGATTCCTTGAGTACCTGATTTTTTGTTTCATTTTACCCATTTCTAGTACTTGGTCTAACATATGTTTACCTTTTCCACAGGTGATTTCCATTTAAGCTGTTGGCAGAGGGGGTGGTTGGGGATGGGTAGCTGGGGGATTCTGGTCCCTTGTCATATGTTTGGGGGAAGAAAAGAGAGAAAAGTGGGTCATTGAGTTATTAGTGCTGTTGTGTGAGCACCTCTGCCTCTTGCAAATAGACACTGGATCCCTACAACAGACCTTGGGCTTCCAAGACCCAGAGTGAGGCCAAGCAAGATGCTGTAAAGCGCATTGACAAGATAACTGTTCCTGCAAAAGGTATGTTCCCTCCCTGCCTAGTGTTTCCTTAAATCCAATTGGGGAAGAGGTATCCCTGAATAAGGTTCTAGGAAGCAGCATAACATGAGACATAGTCATTCTTTTTAGAAAGCATAAGAATACTTTCTGTATACAGAATGGCAGATTAGGTCTTGAAGAGATGGAGAGATCTGTAAGAGAATGGTCTGCTCATATGGCTAAAATTCCAACAAATATCAAATACATACATCCCACTTAAAATCAGAAAAATAAGTGTATTTATTATTGGCTTATCTATAAAAATCTTATTTGAAATCTATGTTAAAAAGGATAGTAAATAATTTAACTGCCTTTTCAACTAAAAACTATACAGTATCTTGTCATTGTTACTAAAGTGTAAGTTGGCCAGCGCCGTGGCTCACTAGGCTAATCCTCCACCTTGCGGCGCCGGCACACCGGGTTCTAGTCCCGGTTGGGGCGCCGGATTCTGTCCCGGTTGCCCCTCTTCCAGGCCAGCTCTCTGCTGTGGCCAGGGAGTGCAGTGGAGGATGGCCCAAGTGCTTGGGCCCTGCACCCCATGGGAGACCAGGAAAAGCACCTGGCTCCTGGCTCCTGCCATCGGATCAGCGCGGGTGCGCCGGCCGCAGTGCGCCGGCCGCGGCGGCCATTGGAGAGTGAACCAACGGCAAAGGAAGACCTTTCTCTCTGTCTCTCTCTCTCTCACTGTCCACTCTGCCTGTCAAAAATAAATAAATAAATAAAGTAAAATAAAAAAATAAAAATATTAAAGTGTAAGTTGAAAAGCAGAAAGTTTCTTTAAAGTTTACAAATTCTTAATTTCATAGTAAATGTTGCCACTGTATACTTTATCTCTATTAAAGGTAGATTCCTAAGTAATTAATACCAACATGAAAGATCTACATATATATGGTAATGGATCTAAGATGCTAGTGCTAGTTAGATTTTTGAGGAAAATCAGCAACTGGAATAGGTCTGGCAAAGGGAACTTCTGAATTAACAGGTTAGTGTTCCCAAGAGACAGAAGGAATAGAGGTCTAGAGTTCAAGTTTTAGCTTGGGAAGATTATGCCATTGGTATTCATCTAAATGCTATTTCTGATTCCCGAGTGGGTAGGTCATCTGTACCCTCACCATTTTACTGCACAGGGGTAGTAGTATTTCCTTTGGTTGCTGTCATCCTGCGTGAAAAGACTTATTTCTTTAACTTTCTTCTGCTTTTTTCAGGCTCTGAGTTTCTGATTCCCATCACTGGGTTTTACTGCCAGCTCTGTGAGGAATTTTTGGGGGACCCAATTTCTGGAGAACAACACGTGAAAGGTCTCCAACACAATGAGAAATATAAGGTTGGTCTTTGTAGTAGTTGTGGATTTCCCAGTTTCTGCAGTAATTCTTGAGGCTTTGACAAACAACTAAAGAGCCAGGGAAAGTCATTGACACTTCCAATTCCATGTAACCATTAGGAAACTCTCTTTAATCCTACTGAGAGATGCTGAGCTGGTCAAACTATTTATCCTTGAGGAAGATTACTCTGGGGATTTCTACTGAGTGAATTCTAAACAGTGGTGGGGCCAAATTTTCTCTCTTATATTCTGGCCAATTGTTAAGCCTTTATCTTTTCTCTTCCCAGAAATATGTGGATGAAAACCCATTGTATGAAGAACGGCGGAATCTGGACCGCCAAGCTGGCTTGGCTGTGGTCCTAGAGACAGAACGACGACGTCAGAGTGAGCTTAAGCGTAAACTTAGTGAGAAACCAAAGGAGGAGAAGAAAGAAAAAAAGGTAAAAGTTACGAAAGAAGTAAAGGAGGATGACAAGGTTTCTGAGGAATTGGAGGACCAACTCTCTGAGGGTGGAAGCTCTCCTGAAAAAGCTGAGAATAAGAACACTAGCATCAAACTCCAGTTAAAAGAAGAGGTAAAGAAAGAATCACCAACATCCTCTTCATTTGGGAAATTCAGCTGGAAGAAGACAGAAAAAGAGGAAGAAAAAAGTTCAGTGGTAGCTTCTTGTATCCCTAAGGAAGAGATAGGGGAAAGCAGTAAGGAAAAAGAAGATAACAGAGCTGAAACTGGGAAAGCAAAGCCCATCAAAATCAAGCTGTCTGGGAAAACTGTTGTAGCACACAGCAGCCCTTGGATGCCTGTTGTGACAACTTCAACGCAGACTAAAATTCGACCCAACCTTCCTATCCCATCGACAGTACTCCGCAAGTCAGGTTCAATCACAGTGAGCAAGCCTGCTCCTCTTAACACCTTTCTGTCCATCAAATCCTCTGGAACTACTGCCAAACCTCTGCCAGTGGTTAAAGAATCTTCAGCTGATCTCCTGTTGCCACCAGACATCATCTCCAAAGCATTCGGAGGGGAAGAGGTGGTTCTAAAAGGATCTCCAGAGGAAAAAACAGTGGTGGCTGAAAAGAATGAGCTATCCCATATACCTGAGCAAATGCTACCTCCTCCTCCTCCACCCCCACCCCCACCTCCACCCCCACCACCCCCAGTTATACCTCATCCAGCTGCTCCATCTCCTGCTCAAGCAAATACTATCTTGGCTCCAGTAAAATCAAACCCAGTTGTATCTCAAACTCTCAGTCCTGGCTTCCTGGGTCCTAACATTTTGAACCCAGTGTTGCCTGTAGCCATCATGGCCTCAGCACAGCCAGCTGCCATTCCTTCTGATGAGACAGCTCCTGGGGTGAGTGAAAGTGACCGGGATCAGACCCTATTCTCTGTGTTAGTCCGTCCTCCACCACCACTTTCAAGTGTGTTCAGTGAACAAGCCAAAAAATTGGAGAAGCGAAATTCATGCCTAGCCACAGCCAATGCTAAGGATTTGTATGATATATTTTACAGTAGTGGTGGAAAGGGAGCACCTGAAACTAAGCTGAGTGGTGGTCCATTGGCCAATGGGGAAAATAGCAACCTCTCTAGAACTGAAAATTCAGATACTTCTTCTACTTCTACAGCCCAGGAGGAGTTGCGTCAACATAAAGGTTTGGTCATTGCTCCTGTAGTCAGCAACCCTGAAAAGCCCATTGCAAAAACTCTGATGTCCCTAGGGAAGTGGTCAGCTATAAAGCATGTGGACCCAAAAACCAGAGGCAGCAGCTATGGCTTTCTACAACCTCTGACAAGGTTGTGCCAAAGCAGACCTTGTGAAACTATTACCCCAAAGCCAGAGACTTTGGCAAAGTGGACTTCTAGCTCCTTCCAGAGTGACACTAATAAGAGTGTACCTCCAGAGAGGAAACCTGAGCTTGACCTGGGAGAGCCAAGGCCACCTGGAATAGAAACAGCTCCTCAACAGTCAGATACACAATGTCATACCAAGGAATCTCAGAAGTTGGTAGAAATCCACCTCATAGAATCTGGTAACCAAGATAAGGAAAGCCAAGACCTTGACCAAACTAAAGATTGTGGAGAAAGTGAGGTGGGGACGAACACTGAACTAAAAGGAAAAGTAGCAGTTGAAGAGGGAAAAGATATCAACCTTGGGCCTCACAGCTTAGAAGACTGTCATTTGAACCATGGGGACAGATATATGTGGAAGGGAGAAGTGGAACAGCCCAAACTGTTAATGATTGACAAAGAGGTTGAGCAGTCCAAGAAATTGATGACAGGAAGTGAAACCCCAAGTAAAGTAGTGATGGAATTAAATGCACAGACTCTCTCTTCCACAAAGGCAAAAACAGACTCATTTCCATCAGAAGCTAGGACTTTAACCCAGAACTCACAAGATATAACTGTGAAAATTTCAGCTCCAGAAGTACTGCTTCAGTCCTCAGCCAGATTAGATGTGTGTTTAACAGATAGTCCACAGGAGCAAGGGTTTTCAGCAGGTAGTGAGGAATGGCTAGAAAATTCAACTCCAGAATCAGCTTCCAGAACTTCCAGGTACAGAAGCCTCAAACTCAAGAGAAAAAGATCAAAAGACCTTCAAGGTAAAATGATCTATGAGCTGGCTGTTTGGGATGAGAGCAAAACGAGGCCCGAGAGCTGGGTGGATCCAGAAAAACCGGAAGTGGAAGCTGGGGAGCTACGAGAAGTCCGTCCAGAATTAACAGTGACAATAGAAAACAAAGCCTTAGATGACTTCAAAGCTACAGACTTAAAGGTAGAGGAGCTTGCTGCTCTGGGGAAAATGGGGGATATATGTGTTGATATTTGCAATACGCGAATAGACCCAGTTTGTAGATCCCCAACTGCCTTATCTCAGAAAGTGTGTGAAGAAAATTCTGTGTCACCTGTAGGGTGTAAATCCTCTACTCCCACTGAGTTTAAACAAGTTCCATCTTTTTCTGGGTTTCCAGTAGAGTCTCCCAAAACCCTGGTGCTTAACTTTGAGACAGAGGGTGAACAAACTTCATCTGATCTCAGAAGTGGGAGGATTACTTCTAACATGTTGAAAACTGGACTTCCTATGGAAAACGTTGAT